CTTGTACAGATAAAAATACCAAGGCCTGTGCACGTCTAGTGACTTACCTGACTTTTCACGAATAGAAAGAATCACAGATAGTATTTGAACCCAGGTTCTCTGACTCCTCCTGCATCATGCTTCCGGCTAATTATTATTGTTGAGGGCCACCAGCAGGGGACCAGATTGGGGCAGGGAGGACCAAGTGAAATGTGTGAGTATGTCAGATGTGTGGCAAAACTTAAAGGGCCACATAAAAGCCCCTCAAGTTGATGATGGCACCAACAACAATGGCGGGGGGTCGAGGGCCACATGTAATCAACAAAACAATTTCCACACAGAAGTGTGTAGGACATTGGATTCTAGAACATCATCATAGAGATGCCTAATTGAAAAAGAATGCAGCTCTGCCCCAAAGAAAGAGCGAGGGATAAGTCATCCATGGCCCATATATTCCACTACTAGACATGAAATGTCAAGAGATCTAGAGAAAGGCTATGTTGGGCAGCTCTCCCTCCCCTTTCCCAAGCCCCCGCCACAGAGGGTTTATGGGAGGATACAGACAAGAGATGCACAAGATGAGAAGGTACGGAGAGATGAGTATTTGCACCAGTGGAGGGAGTATAACATAGATAAGATCAGAGGTCAATCAAAGCATATTTAACATCAGTATATCAAGCACAAGTATTGTAAGAGCAGAAAAAACAGAATTTTTCTTTGCATGACAACACCATCTAATCACTCACTCTATCCCGGCCTAAAACCTTGGGGTCATTTTTGAATCTCCCTTCCCTTTTCCCCTCTCCCTCCCCCATCCAAATCCATTTCAAAGTTCTGCCAATTCTATCTTGGCAGTATCTCTTCCATCTATACCGTAGACTGAATCTTTTTTTAAAGGAACTCCGGTTCCAATGAAAATGAGCCCCAGATTCTCGCTGTCTCCCAACCCCCAACATGAATGATGTCATATCATTACCATAAAGTGTCAAGTCTAGGTGTACTCAAATTGAGTGGGGGGGGGGGGGAAGTGATGCTGGTTAATGAAAATCTGGCCCCAGGTCTACATCTTGATTGAGGGCGTGCTGCAAAAGTGACTCTGTGAAACCCCATCTATCCACCCGCTCCTTGGCACATTTTGAGCATGTGTGAAGCCCATCCCTGCTTCAGATTACCCTCTGCTCCCCCTTCTCTTCAGTTTCGAGGTCTGACACTGCCCATGGACCCAGTTTATTTTTTGGCCTCTTGGCACGGGAAGCCTGCCTGCCGAATGATAAAAGTGGAATTCTCTGCTGTCAGCAGGGCAGCCTCTGGGGAAGAGGGCCTGAAACCCAAACTTATAGAAAATCATATCCTGTTTGCAAACACCATATTCCCTGGGCTGCTCCCTAATCGCATCCCATAAACCCCTGCCCAGCTTCAGAGTCCACTGCTCATCTAAACAAATGCCATAAGCCCCTTTATACTTTTACAACCATGTCAAAAAATAATATTGCCTGCCAATATGATGTGATTGGAGTGGCCTCCTCGGAGCTATAAAAGAAGCCTGGGGTCTGTTATCAATTTCTCTAAGTGTATCAGGGGAATTATGGGTCGATTCGGTTCCAAGTTATAAATGACAACTCAAAAGCCGCAGAAGCTTTTGAAGCTAGGAGCTGATGACGACATTATCATAAAAGCCTGCTCGTCCCTGCTCTTGTGGTTTTTTTGGGCCTATCAAGGAAAGAGGAGGAAAACAAGGCTGAGAAATGATTTCAAGATTTCTTCACACAGCGGCAGGTCAGATGGCCAGGCGAGCAAATGCTATTTTTAGGGAGACACTTGGTACAGTTGGAGCCAAGGCCTTTCTGGATGGGCATCTGTTTCCTGTTTCCCTTCATTATCAACTTCATTATCTAGACTATGGAACAGGGGATGGTACAGAAGCTGATAAATTTGAAGTCAGGGGACCCAGGTTCAAATCTCATTTCTGCCACTTACTATCTTTGTGTTCTGGGGCAAATTGTTTCAGGTCTCTGGACCTCTCTTTCCTTCTCTGTAAAATTAGGGGGTTGGACTAAATGACCTTGGAAATTCTTTCTAGCTTTAAGGTCTTACAGCAACATAACTTGCAAGCCTGTACACTCCCCCATGAGGTAACTCAGGGGCCTGTTGGCCTCTGCTCAGATTTTAGACACAAGAAAAAAACTTAGAAGCACCCTAAGTCTTACCCTTTTCAGTCAGATGCAGCAGTGGCATTGTCTGACCTGCACCTCTGGAAGAGGCAATGAGAAAGGAGGTCTTTCCATTTCCCAGAATTACAGGAATTCGTCAATGGACCTCCAGGGCCAACTTGTTTCACTCAAAGCCACAAAGAATCCCAAAGAATCCTCTCTGTAACATACAGAAGTGATTCCCCAGGCTTTGCTTGGTTCTTCCAGTTTCCACCTTTAGGCGTTCCAGGAGAGAGAGCCCACCACTTCCTAAAATAGATATTCCGCTTAAGGATGGTTCTTGTTGTTAGGGAACATTTCATTTCTTGACATCATGCCTCAGTCTACCTCTTTGTAATTTCCACCCATTCTTCCTAGTCCTTCCTTTTGTGACCACACAAAACAAGTCAAATCTTTTTTTTCTTTCCAAGAAATAGCCTTCTAAAGACTAGAAGACAAATATCCTGCACCTCCCCAACTCTTTTCTTTTCCAGCTAAATATCCTCAGTTCCTTCAGCTCATCTTTGTAGTGTCCTTTCAAACAATTAATCAACAAGTGATTTATTAAGCACCTACTATGTGCCAGATTTGCTGCTGGGATTACAATGACAAAGAATGCTGTAATTACTGGGTCTACCTGATAATCCTATAGGAATGTATCTAAACCATTCCAGGCTGAAGTGGATCTATACATAAACCTCAGAATTCTATGAAGCTGATATTGATTATAATACGTGGGAAACTCCCAAGGAACATCCAAAGTCTTAAAGTTATTTGGGTTGGCCCATGCAAATCCCAGGGAACTATGGTCATAGGCACAAGCTCCCCAAGGGCACCATCCCATGTGTATCTCTGCTCCTCTGAGGAGCTCTGAATTGCCAAGGTCTGTGACAGTATTGATTTGCATGTATATTATACATGGATGTGGTTTTTTTATGCTATAGTCTGCCTTAAGAGGGAAATTTAGAGCCATGTCCAAGAAAGACATAGTCATTCAGGAGGTCCCTAAATACTACAGGTTTTACAGGGGCTCACAGATTCCCTAGAATGTCTACTTCTCAGGGAGCTTAAAAGGACTAGATCAAGTTGGGTCTCTTCAAGACCACCACCATGTTTCCTGGAGCTCTCAAAAGAAAGTGTCCAGACCAGTGAGTACAAAACTGGAGCTTTCTCTATTGGCGGGTCCATTTTTGTCCAACTTGGAACCCTCCCAAGCCAATAATTCCCCCCAAATATGTCCTTTGTATCCCTGTCTCTCAGCATCTTAAGATTCCTTGAAAACCCAGCTCTGATGGCACCTGCCACATGATGGCTTTTCCAGTCCTGTTCTCTATGAGCTCACTTTCCTAGAGATCAAGCTGGGCACATGCTAACCTCCCTCCTGCCTCTTTACTTACAGAGGAAAGGAGATCTACAAGGAAAGGCCAGTTTGATTTTTATCCTTGTACCTACAGAATCTGACACAAAATGTTTTGCACATAGTAGATGCTTGGGAAATGTTGGTTGGACAGAATTTGGGTTCCCTTAAAATGACTATTTGAGAAAATAAGAGCCAAAAACAATGAAAAACTTTTTCCCCCCAAGAGATTATTCTTACTTATATAGAGCATGCATTTTTACCAGTCCCAAGCAATGTGGTACTCTGTCCTAATAAGTTAGGATCACCACGGTATGGAAAGCAGCCTGGGTACAGTACAGCAAGCAAGTCTGTCCACTGGTGAGTTACTTCAGAGACCACACTAGCAATGCAGTAATTCAGAATTTTTGAGACAAGGGCAAGCCGCATGAAGGCATCTTCAGGTCTTTGATTTGTTTTTGTTGTTGTTGTTGTTGTTTAAATGGGGTTGGGGTAGGGTTGGAGAAGCTCAATTCAACTTGCCGTCTGGTAGCCCCCCATTTTTAATCTCACCAACCTTTTGTTTCCACGCTACTGAAGAATCTCTACATTTTGAGCCCCAGAACAAAGTCTTGTGACTCCCTTCTTTTGACTCTGAAAATTGGAAATCAGACCCCAGGAGATAGTGTTGTTGCTAATCCACAGAGACTTCAGTGTTCTTTTTGAAGATGAAAACTGTGGGATGTTTCTAAAGGAAACATCACCAATTTGGCCAACTATAGATGCCCATTGACACCATACTTTCCGTGGTCCCATTCAGTGTTGGTATTGGCCAGGTCTCAACAAGAATGTAAAGAATCACAAAGCTAACATGGAGAATGGGGAGTCAAGGAGGGGAAAGAGTTACCTCTCCTTGCCGACACTACCTTCATTAAAAAGGATAGTATGAAATGAAAATACCAGATTGCTCAGCATTTTACTTTCTAAGGGGAAAAATATTATTTTAAGTATTATTTCTAAGTTCTCAAATATAAGCTTTTTTCCTCCTCTTTCTAATGCCCAAATTAGTTTATTGGACCACTTTAAATATGATCTGAGAGCATACAGACTTTAAGAGATCTTTGTTACTACATTATATCAAAACAAATGTGTCCTTAAGATGTGGTATAAATATCCCAGGTCAAAAAGTCTACATTAATTATTTAGGTTGAAGACCACAAAATGGCCCCAGGGGTTATCAAGCAGTGTTTCCCAGCATGCACCATACTCTATGAAGCCCAGGTCATTTTAATCTGGAATATAATGGGCTGAGCCCTTTTGGTTTCAGCTCTTTGCAGAGTGAATTCAGCTGCCTAGTTGTATTTAACTTTCTTCCGATGCTCCTAAAAGTCCAGAGGAGACTTCACCAAGAAAGAGCCATCGCCTGAGTAGCAATGGAAGCTAGGTGGAAGAAGCTACGTTCCTTGTGAGTTGTAAGCACAAAAGCTCATCCTTACCCCAATTCCACCACAAGGCAGCAAGGAGAAGACCTTCTGAGATGTGTCCCCTAGGGAAGGAAAGAGAAGACAGAAGTGAGCGCAAGCCGCAAGGGTCAATGCAGTATTTCCTTTTGGCACATGGTATTGAAGGTAAATTCCAACAAGCTGGAATCATGAATTGAGAGCCAGAAGGGGCACCAAAGGCTATTCAGTCCAGTGCCCTAATTTTTGGTGATTTGGAAGTTGAGGCTTAGACAGGTTAAATGAGTTCGTCCAGGGGTGGGGAACCCGAGACCTTGAGGTTACATGTAGCCCTCTAGGTCCCCAAGGGTGGCCCTTTGACTGTATCCAAACTTCACAGAACAAATCCTCTTAATAAAAGGATTAGTTCTGTGAAACTTGGACTCAGTCAGAAGGCCACACCCAAGGACCTAGAAGGCCACGGGTGACCTCGAGGCTGCAGGCTGAAGCAGGATTTTAACTCATCTTCCTCACTACATCCAGGGCTTTATCAGCTCTTGCTTGATTAGGTATTGTTTTTAGAATTGCACATGATAGTTTATTATTCATGCAGGTACTCCAGAGCATGTGAATTGGAGAAGGTAGATTTTCATACGCAGAATGTCTGACTCCTACTTGTATATGCAAAGCATATTTTACCATGATTTAAAAAAATTATCCATGCATCCAAGTGGTAAATTTCAAGTTTTCAGTTTGCTTTAGAGTTCATTTTAAATAGCTTGACTATCCATGGAATGCCTTGCTTTAGCATGACATTTTAGGCCAGTGATATTGATCAAAGGATTGTCTCTTTCCATATGCTTCAAGACAACATTTTATGAAACATGCAGACCCACTTTTCTGGCGCATATTTTAGAGGTGGCCAAGATCTATGTTTATTAAGTACTCCCTCTAACTTTATTAGACTAAAAAGCATCAGGTAGAAAGAAGATCCAGTAGTAGTCACACAAAACTCACTAACTGAGAACTCCTCATCTGACCCTAAGTCCAGTTTTGTTTTGTTTTGTTTTTCCGTTGTTTACTTAAAGTCCAGAGATAACTGAATAGCTATGGGGCCCTGAAGAAAGCCACCAGCTCTTCATCAGACAATGGGGATTCCTGAAGAATCTGCCAAGGGGATACAAGTTTTCACATATAATACCAACAGTGATATAATGGAAATATTTGGTATCATATGACCTGAGTTCAAATCCTTGATTGTCTCTTCAATACCAATGATCTTGGGGAGAGGAAGGAGGGAACGAGCTTTTATTAAATATTTACAATGTGCCAGGTACTATGCTAAGTGCTTCACAAATGTAATCTCATTTGTTATCATTCCATCCCTCTGGGCCTCAGTTTCCTCATCTGTAAAATGAAGTGTTGAACTAAATCCCCTTCCAACCATAAATCTATGATTCTGGCTCCACGAATATGTGAAGCTTCAAGTAAGAGCTGATGGTGGACTGTGTGTTTTTCACTCAATGTTCAACCTAGCTAAGTATGAAGACACTCATCAACAAAATGTGGGCCACCATCAGATGAATGATTTTTTTTATATTTTGGCTACAACAACTTGGGAGGAAGTTACGTATCTATCAGTGAAGAAAGTGCCCACATTAAAGGAATCACAGATCTTTCAAAGTATCCTCTAACGAACAGGAAGGCCCAGGGCATTTGCCTCTCCCACATGAGGAATCTATGTCAAATAATGGTCATGTAGCCAATCAGTGATGGAATTGTACCATGAATCCAGACTCCTAATTCCAACGCACTTCAGTTGTCCCAGTACAGATCAATAGAAACAACATAATCCAAATTAAAAACAGATCTGAGGCGGGAAGAATTTTCATTCCACGTGAGCCAAGGCCTCAGTGAGTTTCAGTGACAGATAAGAAAGGCTATTTTGAAAATAGTAAATTATCTGAGTAGATTTTTTAAAATGCAATTCTTAACAGATGGGAAATGGGGGGAAAGTTGGTCCAAGAAGGAGGCAGGGAAGACTATTTAGATACCCCAATGAGATAATCCTAGTAAGGACTGGAATATTATTTGAAAGCCAGATGGGAAGCTGATGGAAAAGAAATCCATTGGCCGACAATTTAAAATAGGAATATTGACACGAGCAAGAAGACCAACATAACTATTCCTGAGCATCAAGAGATTTCCTAAGGCGTTCACTCGGTAGTCAGCGAAGACTTTTCAAGGGATCTACCGTAGTAGGGAGTAAGCATAAGAAATGTTACTTACTCTCACAAATACAGGACTGAGAAGTACCATAAAGAATCAAGGGATGTTCTTCTCCTTCAGTGATGGCTGCACGGCATCAAAGATTCCACAAAGTCCGACAAAAATACATTCTTCTTTTAACAAGTATATACAACGAATTTTTAGAACTGGTTTGGCTCAGTGGTGTGACATCATGTCGGTGTCACGCAGGCTGAGATCTACCCAGCCCTGGGGTGATGGAAATGTTGGCAGTCAGGCAGGAAAATGAACCCCAATGGCAGCTTCTTTGGAGAGTAATTATAGGTGGCAATCTAGTAACCAAACCCGATGTTCTCAGAGGAAGGGGGAAAAACATTGATCAACCGTTCAGTGGTCTATTCAGTCTCCCTATTTGAGCCCTCAGTGTATCCTGACTGCACTCACCAACTGAAGAGTCATCACCTTCCCAAAGCAACAATACTTCCTGTGTTTACTTATACAGAGGAAAGTTGTCTTCTTTACATGCCCAAAATATACATTATATATGTTGTGTGTGTGTCTACCTTCAATTTGGTTCATATAGAGCACCTTTGGGGAAGAGAGATACCATATTAGAGGGGTGTGACATGGGGATAATCCTGCTGTGAATAGAATGGAAGCCCCAAAGTAAGAGACTTGATTTTAAAATAGATGGAAAATGATGATATTTTCCAGTAATATATGTGAAAATTAAAAAAAACAACATAGTAAGAATAAGTGATAATAGATGGACAGCCTTGAGCATTAAGTAAGTATCCATAGGATCACAGATAGAGAGCTGGAAAGGACCTCAGAGCCAATCCCTTCTCAGTTTTTCAGGTGAAGAACCTAAGGTCAAGGGAAGTTAAGTGATGTACCCAAGGCCACAAAGGTAGCAATTACCAGAGCCTCTGATTGCAGGGGAAATGATTTTACTACAGGACTATGCTACCTGTAGAATTTTGACTAAGTTTAAATAGAAAGAAATTTTTCACTTAGAGAAAAAGGAAACATTGGTTTCTGCAAAACTGACAAAAATCATTTGGCATCAGTTAAAGAATCTAGGAGTCTTGTCAGTACCATCAAGAGTGATGTTGCTTGAAAATGAGAAATCATTTACCTTAACTCTTAGCACAAAAAAAAGTGAGAGGAGAAGGGACATTAAAGTCAAAAAAACAAAAAACAAAAAACAAAAACAAAAAAAAAACCTTTTAGCAACATTTTACTCTGAACCTTTCCCTGATTTTTCCTAGTACAGATCTTCCTGGGATATTAGAGTATGATCTGATGAAATGGGCCAATAGCGAATCTTCATATTTGAATTCTGTGTCCCCTGAAAACTGCTGTTTTCTGAATACCAATTAAAAATTCAATTCTACCTTAGTGACCAAAGATTTTATTTATTTGCAAATCATTCTTCTTGTTGCTTGTTCCATGACACAATATGACATATAGATACATCCATCTGTCCTCTTGAGTTACTTACATAACTTTAATAAGCTCATAGGTTTAGGACTCAGTAGGAACTTAGAAGTCAAATAGTCCTACTTTTTGTTTTTACAGATAAGGAAATTGAGGCCCACAGAGAAATGACTTTCACAAGGTCACATAGGCAATAAAGACTAGGGAAGTCCCTTATTTCACTTTTGGCATATCAACTGACTCCAAGAACAATGCCAGAAAAGTGTTCATTTTAAAAATCAGTTTCATGTGTTTCTTAAAAATCATCTCTTTAGTCACCAGTCGTACTTTTGTAAAAGCAAGCTTTTTAAAATTTTTATTTTATTTTTAATTTATGAAATAAAACAAGCATTTCCATAACATTAGAATTTTTTAAAAAGATGGTTGCACATGAAACTGCGAATCTATTATATAAAAGAAACAACTTCATTAACATTTATGCTTAACCTCCAATCTCCCTCTGGGCATATTTTTTTTTTTAAATTGAAAATTGTACTAGCTGTTTTCAAACTTCTCACAGAGCTCATACAAATCAGTACAAGCTGACCCCAATGATCCAGATGTCCTTTATCCATCTCTCCCCACTCTGACAGAGCCTAACCCTTGGCCTGTGACTGGTTGGGTTGAGTAGTAGAAAGAATAATAGTTGTGGTGGTAGTTGGAACTCTGTTACAATCTGCTCTTCATTTAAAAGAAAACAATAACAGTGAGTTGTAAGTATATAGCTCCCTTTCATAGCACAACAATATTAATCTAATAGAATTTAGCGACGGTGTGGATGATATCTCCAGTTGATTTGTTGGTATCATGTATTATTATCTAAATATAAAGCTATTCATTTCCAAGATTCCACAGCAAAGAAGGCACTTTGGAGAGAACCACACCTAGAGTGAGGTAAATGGAACTTTTCCCAGGATGCTAAAATGTAGATGATGCAAAACATCAACCCATGCACTCCAACACTAGAAGCTGCTAATTCTATTTCCTGTTCAACTGACCACTTAATTACCTCTGTTGCAATTTTTGCATCATGAATTACAAAATTGATTTGAGGTTGCCTTTCATGCTGTTTGTCCTGGTAAGGACACATTGGGTGCTACTTTCCCCTAATGTGTTTCAAGCAGTCCTAGGAGTCAACTTGGCCAGTTAACCCTCTGGCCTTAGGCACCCCACACAGTTCAAGGAATGGGGCTGTGTTGTCTTTACAAAGGGGGGAAATGTCTCTGCCGATTAGGCCACATAAATTTAGACTCATTCCTATATGTACAGATGAATAGGTCACAAGAAGAAGTATTTAATTTTTAAATTTAATAATGTCCGACTTTCAAACAACACTCCACCAAAATTTCCCCTGAAATGCTAACTTGAGGGCTTCCACCCAATTCAACAAAGATTAGGACTCCTGTACAACAGAGTGGTTATCGATTTTCCTTGTTCTTATACAGAGAGATGCCTGGTTTTCAATATCAGGGTCCTAGATTCCCTTTGGAAATACTCAGGCCAGAGAGAAGAGGAGGAGCCAAGATGGCAGAGTGAAAGCAGTGACTTGCTTGAGCTCTCCCCCAAAGCCCTCCAAATACCTGTAAAAAATGGCTCTACACAAATTCTAGAGCAGTAGAACCCACAAAAAGAGAGTGAAACAAATTCCCAGCCAGAGACAACCTGGATAGTTGAATGGAAAGTTCTATTGCACCAGGCTGGGAGAGAAAAACAGTTCAGCATGGGTGTGCAGGCAAAGACTAGGCCTCAGTGAATCTGGAGCAGGTCTCAGAGGACTGAATCAGGGGCAGCTGTGTGGGTTTCTAGATTTCTCATCCCACAAATGCCAAAGATAATTTAGAAGGTCAATAGGAAAAGGCTGTGACTGTGGTGAAAGAGAAGTTCAGTCCCAAGCCCCAGCCCCAGTGCTGCGCCAGGGTGGTGGCTGCTTCTGGAGCTTGGCCCACAGACAAAAGGGTAATCGAGTAGCTTATCAGAGGGGGGATTGCAGGGATCTCTTTGCCAGTGCTGAGGCAGGAATCCTTGCTTTGCCCATGCTTGGATCTGGGTCACAGTTCTGGGTCCTGGGGTGAAGAGGAACATTGGTGTGGTAGAGTTTGTGGTGGCAGTGGAGAGGAAATCCTCCTCACAGTTCCAAGGCAGAAAAGAGTTCTGGTGGTCACTCATAGACCAGAGTACAAGCCAGCAAAGGAATAAACACCTCACCCTTGATCATACCACCTTGGAAGTATTAAAAATTTACAGGTCCCTAGAAGTCTCTCTAAAAACAGCTGCACCAAACCTCTGAAGCGTGGGACAGTACATTTTCCACACTGGAAGCAGATGCCTACCTTAACAAAGAGTTTAAAACTCAAGAAATCGGCTGGGAACATGAGCAAACTGCTCAAAAAAAAGTCAGACCATAGAATCTTTCTTTGGTAACAAAGAAGATCAAAACATACAACCAGAAGAAGACAATAAAGTCAAAGTTCCTATACCCAAAGCCTTCAAGAAAAATATATCAGTCGCAGGCCATGGAAGAGTTCAAAAAGGATTTTGAGAAACAAGTGAGAGAAGTAGAAGAAAAACTGGGAAGAGAAATGAGAATGATGCAAAAAAAAATCATGAAAAACAAGTCAACAGCTTGCTAAAGGAGACCCAAAAAAAAATACTGAAGAAAATAACACCTTAAAAAAATAGCCTAACCCAAATGGCAAAAGAGGATCAAAAAGCCAATGAGGAGAAGAATGCCTTAAAAAGCAGAATTGGCTAAATGGAAAAGGAAGTCCAAAAGCTCACTGAAGCAAATACTCTCTTAAAAATTAGAATGGAGCAAATGGAAACTAGTGACTTTATGAGAAATCTAGATATTGTAAAACAAAACCAAAATAATGAAAAAATAGAAGACAATGTGAAGTATCTCATTGGAAAAAGCAACCGGCCTGGAAAATAGATCCAGGAAAAATAATTTAGAAATACTCAGGCCAAATTTACTTACTTCTGTTTTAGAATGACAGTGAATTAAAGACTTGGTGGGAGTTGCTCGCTGTTTGCTGAGGTGACCCAATAGTTTGAGTGGCTGTTTCAAAGTGAATGCATATGAGGATTGCAAACAACTGGATCACTTGAACATTTTAAATTTGGCTCCTTCAGAAAATATTGTGCCCTTGATTGACAACCACTATTATTCAATACTTATTTGGTTAAGACATAATTAATATTACTAATCAATCAATAAGGAGGACTGTGGAATGGTGGCTAGCGAGCCAGCTTCATGATTATGGACACCGGGTTTCAAGCCACTTAACCTCTTGAGAGCTACAGGCATCTCTGTATGTCCTAAGTCTCAGACAAGTATTGGTGGAGGAAGTTTCTACATTGGGAAGTTAGAACAATATTGCAATCATAGATCCAGACCCCTCCTTCCCCAAAAAGGAATCAAGAGTGACTTTCTAGTCTTAGACGTTGGCATACTTCCCATGTTCATCGTGTTTTCACATTAGAAAGAAATCAAATATTTTCATCCCATGTTCAAGATGCAGTGAGGTACATACCACATAGAATTTAGAACCAAATCAAACTGGACCTATTTGTGATGTCATCTATCAGATAAGAGAGATGTGTCTCCCTAATACTTTTTCTCTGTCATTCCCTGAGATATTTTGCTTTTGTGAATATATTAGGTATGTCATGTGACAATAACACTTTGAAAAGCAATTTTAGTAAATAACATAAAATACATTGTGTAGTTTTGTTGTTGTTTGCAAGGCTTTTTTTGTGGTGAAGGGCAAATCTATGATCTCTTTAGTGTGAGGTACTCCTAGTGTGAACATTCCCTTCACTGATGCAGATCAAAAGTTGGTCTGATCTGCATTCTTAGATAGCACCCAGTGTCTGAACAGTACATTATGCTTATGAGGGAAAAAAATTAAACTCCTCTTTATGTACCATGGGTTGTTTTTTTGTTCTTTCTTCCTTTCTTTCCTCCTTTCCTTTTTTTCTTTCTCTCTTTCCTTCTCTCTCTTCCTTTCACTCTTTTTTCTTTCTTTTTCTTTCTTTCTCATTCTATTCTGTTTTGCTTTGCTTTTTCCCAGTGAGACAGATGAAATAATTGAAAGAAATAAAATGAGGCCTGAAGAAAAAAAAAAGACAAGTCTAGAAGCCACACTGTCAGCGGTCCCTTGGAAGGCTCAGAAGTATGAGCAAAAGAGAAGATTCCCCCATCACCATTATCCACAGCTACAAGTCCATAATTAAATCAGGCTGTGCAAATCCTATCAAAGTAAAAGTTACCAAACAGCTCTTTTTTTTGTTTTTAAAATGAATATGAGGGAACATTCTTGTCAGATTCCAAACCCTGCATTTGATTCATCTCCATTGGCTTCCACTGTAACATTCTCTCTCCCTCTACTCAACAACACTGCTGGAAAAGCTGATTTTTGGCCCCACTCTTTGCCAAGTATTTGACACTGACAACTGCAATGACTAATGACAAGGCTAGAAGGTGCTGTTCTCAGTAATCCGTACCTCGGAGCATCCTGGGGTCCAGCTTCTGTCTGCTCAAGGGGTCAGTGCCATAGAGAAGAGAATGATGGTCAGAATGAACCAGGTGTAATTCTTCTAGAGAAGCTTTTCGACCTTGGATCCGCTAGAAGGAAACAAGAGAGGCTGGTGGGATTTCAGTGACAGCACGGACAAAACAGAAGGCCCCAAAGAGTAAGGTTAATTATAGGTTGGAGGTGCAGCAGGCATGAATGGGGCACTATTCTGCTTATTAAAGTACAACAATAACACGTGGGAAAAATAAAATAATCATAATCATAATGGTAGCAATAGTGCTTTATGTACGTTATCTCATTTGATTTAAAAATGAATGCAAAGGTCATGGACTTTAATGTTGTTTAAACTTAAGGGGGTGAGCTAATAAAAGTCAGTTTCCTGGTAGGGAAAAAAAAACACAACACCATACAAAAAATGATCAGTTTCTTACTCTATGAAGTTCATCATTGTCATCATCATTATCATCATCATTATCATTATAGTAATTACATAATGCGGTAATGTTTCCACAATACTTTATATCAGTTACCTCATTTGGTTTTCATAGAAACCCTCGGTGACAGGTGCTCTTATTACCCCCATTTTACAGATGAAGAGAATGAGGCTGAGAAATGTTCCATGACTTACTAAGAATCGTACAACTAGATAGTGTCTGAAGTAGGATTCAAACAAATCTTCTTCACTCCAAACTCCATTTTTGATCAGTATCAGCACACCACCTAGCTGCCATCACCATAAAAACCACGTGGGCTACTGGTTGGCAGACCCATTCGTGAATTAAGATCCTGTTTTGCATTACCATCATCCACCCTGATCTGAGATCCCCCTGCCTTCTTTAGAGGCTCTAATGAACATCAGTGAAGGACAAATTACATCAATTGTACAAGTTGGCTTAAATGCTTTGCATTTGTCTTCCAGCTTGAACCTAAGCTCGATTGATAGCTTAACATCGTTGAGACAGAGAGCTAATCAATTACTTTCCTTCAAACTAGACATCAATTAATAACACTCAAATACTTCCCCCTTCTTTGTGGCCATCCTCTCTTCTGTCATATTATCAGATGGATCACCAAGTCATAGCTAGAAAGGACCACAGTGGTCATCTAATATGGTTTGCAGATGAGTAAAGTGAGGCCCAGAGCCCAAGGTAACACAGTTGTAACTACCAGAGCTAGGATTCAAATCTAGGCCTTCTGATGGCAAAGCTAGCATTATTTCTCCTACACTATGCAATTTCCTTTTGCTGGTGTAAAAGTTGTACATTTTCTATAGAAGCTGATCTGGTGGATATAACAAAAATTGATCTATTCCCTGAGATTTGGGTGCCGAGAACATTTCACTTTACAAATATTAATCACTGGACCATCTGCATAGAGGAGTGAAAAGAGCCTCAGCTTGGGCCTTGGAAGATAGGGTCCTACATTCAAGGTTTGCTTCTGCTCCCCACACTGCAATACCTTGGACAGGTCACTTTCTCCAACTGGGTCTGAGTCTCTGAGATGACCGTACTAGCTCAGGGGCTCTTTTTCTCATAGGGACAGAACTTGGATGGGGAAAAAATACATCTTTATTTTTCACTATATTTTAACTGAGATTTTTGCTAATCTCTAACCATTTGTTTCCATTCTGATTGTAAAAAAAACAACATTATTATGAGAAAGAGTCCATAGGCATCACCAGCCTGTCCAAGAGGTCCAGGCCATGACCCAGAAAAGGTTAAGAATCCCTGGACGAGACGGTCTCTAAATTCCCGTGATCCTCCTGTTATAGTAGGAGCTGGCAGTGAAACCTAGAGACATGATGAGCAAGCAGACGGTCCCCTTGTGCCTGAATAGCAGACGGGGCTGATTTAGAGACTGAGTAACACTCTGTCCCCTCCCAGAATCAGGGGGAGGGGGCCCAGGTGTGAGCCTCTCTGAACTAAAATAAACTCTCCTCAGCTAGGGGAGATAAAGCCAAGAGATGGGGTGATCCTTGGACAGGGGACAGGGCTGGGAGAGATGACGCTGAGAGACAGTGCTGGGAGTGAATGATGAGTCCCAGTGGAATGGGGCACAGTCAGGGCAGCAGGAAAAGGTGTATTCACAAGGGCCAGAAATTGAGGCTCCTTTGGAACCCAGCAAAGATATTTCAGTTTGTGACTATTCAAGTAAAAATGAAAATCATCTTATGGGAAAAATGAAGATGTTTGCTAGTGTCACTGTGACTCATCCTAATGTGACCATTTGTAAAAAATATATTTCAGATAAATATTTCCTTGAACAATTGTAATTCTCAAGCCAGGGAATGCTGAGAAGCCAGCAAAGGCCAAGGAGGATCGGGCCAAGATCTGGCCAGGGTGAGCTGCCATGCTGGATTGCAGAGGTCAAATGGAGGACATGCACTTTTCATTAGAACCATCTACACTCCCATGCTCACCCGAGCATTGCCAATCCTTCAGTTTAATATAGATTGTAAATAACCATCTGGGCTCAGAAAGTATCAACATTTCCTTCAAGAAAGCTTGAATCTTTAATACCACACTGAGATTTTTTATTTTTAATTTGGTACAGGTTATAGAGTGCTGGGCGTGGAGTCAGGAAGACCTATGTTTCAATCCAGCCTCAGAAACTTAGTAGCTATGTGACCCTGGGCAAGTCACTTAATTTATCTGTGCCTCAGTATCCTTGTCTATAAAATGTGGATTATAACAGCATTATCTGTAATGGGAATAAGCTAGTAGTCTTTTCAATAAAATCAGGGATGAAACAAGGATACCCATTATTACCACCCTTATTCAATATTGTTCTGAAATTGCAAGGAAATAGATGATTAGAATAAGGGAGGAGGAGAGAAAACTATTACTCTTTACAGATAATATGATGGTATAACTTAAAGAATTCTAGAGAGTAAGCTAAAAAATCAGTTGAAATAATTAACAACTTCAGCAAATTGCAAAATATAATATAGACCCACATAAATCCTCAGTATTTCTATAATTATCAAAAAAGTCTGGCAGGAAGAGATAGAAAGAGGAATTCCACTTAAAATACCTGGAGACAATATAAAATACTCTGGAGTCTACCTGACAAGACAAACCCAGGTACTACATGAACACAATGACAAACTACTTTTCATGCAAATAAAATCAGCTCTAAATGATTAGAGAAATATTAATTCCTCATGAGTAGACACAGTCAACATAATAAAAAGGACAATTCTACCTAAAACAAGTTGCTTTTTCAGTTCCTTACCAATGAAAACACCAAAAAAAATTTTATAGAGCTAGAAAAAATAACAAAATTTGTCTGGAAGAACAAAAGGTCAAGAATGTCAAGGGAATCAATGTAAAAAACGTGAAGGAAGGTGACTTAGCAATACTAGATTTCAAACTGTATCACAAAGTGGTAATCATCAAAATAATCTAGTACTGCCTAAGAAATGCCTAAGAGTGGTGGATCAGTGGAATAGATCAGGTACACAAGACACAGTAGTAAATGGCCATAGCATTCTAGTGCTTGATAAACCCCAAAATCCCAGCTTTGCGGACAAGAACTCACTATTTGACAAAAAAAAAAAAAAACTGCTGGGAAAACTGGAAAGCAGTTTGTCAGGAACTAGATGTAGACCAACATCTCACACTGTATATCAAGATAAAGTCAAAATGGGCACATGATTTAAAGGGTGATATCATAAGCAAATTAGGTTAGCATGGAAAATTTTCACCATCAAATCTATTGACAAGGGAAGAATTTATAAGCAAACAATTTATAAAGAGCATTATAGGATGTGAAATGGATAATTTTGATTACATTTAATTAAAATATTTTTGCACAAACAAAAATAATGCAGCCAAGATTATAAGGAAAATGGAATTATTATTTTTTTGCAGCAAGAGTTTCTGATAAAGGCCTCATTTTTCTAATATATAGAGAATTGGGTCAAATTTATAAGAATACAAGTCATTCCCCAACTGATAAATTGTCAAAGGATATAAACAATATTCAGGAGAAGAAGAAAAACCAAAGCTATCTATAGTGATCTGAAAAAAAATGTTCCAAATCACTATTGATCAGAGAAATGAAAATTAAAACAACTCTGAGGTACCACCTCAAACCTATCAGATTGGCTAATAGAACAGAAAAGGAAAATGACAAATGTGGGAAGTATTATAGAAAAATTGGGACACTATTTTACCTTTCATGGAGTTGTGAACTGATCTAATCGTTCTGGAGAAAAAATTGGAACTATGCCAAAGGGCATTAAAACTGTACATATGCTTTGACCCAACAATACCCTATTAGGACTATACTCCAAAGACATCAAATAATAAGGAAAATATTTGTTAAAATCATTTTAAATATTATTATAAATATATTTAATTATTAAATATCTAATAATCAATAATTCTAAAAACACTTAATAATTAATAGTATTGAATAATTATTAAATATATTATATTATACATAATATATGAATATTTATGAAAATATTTATAGTAGCTCTTTTTGTGGTGGAAAAAATTCAAAATCCAGAGAATGCCCATCAATTGGGGAATGGTTGAAGAAGTTCTGGTGTATGATTGTAATGGATTACTATTGTGCAATAAAAAATGATGAGCTGGATAGTTTTAAAAAAGTCTGGAAAGACTTACATGAACTGATGCAGAGGGAAGTGAGCACAACCAGGAAATCATTGTATACTACATCAACAGTATTGTACAATCATCAACTGTGCATAGCTCAGCTATTCTGAATAATATAATGATGCAAGACAATTCTGAAGAACTTATGATAAAAAATGCTATCCACCAAAGACTGAGGGAGTCTGAATGAAGATGAAAGAATCCTTTTTTTTTTTTTACTTTATTTTTCTTTTTTTTTCAGGTCTGTTTTTTTTTAACATTACAAATATGGAAATTTATATAATCTATATTAAATTTCTTGCCTTCTCAAGGTAGGGGCAGGAAAGAGAAAGAGGAAGAAAATTTGGAATTAAAAAAAAATGTTAATATTTTTACATACAACTGAAAAGAAATAAAATATGAGACACACACAAAAATAATAGCTTACTAAGTTGTGAGGATCAAAAGAGATAATATTTGTAAAG